TACTGAATTTTCCATATCAATTTTGTTCAGAATTTTTGTATCAGTATATGTGAGATTGGTCCATACTTTTTTCTCATAACATGCTCATTGGAGTTATATATCTGGGTTATGTTGATCTTATAAAGCCAATTGTAAGCATTTCTTTTTCTATTACTGGAAAATGTTAATTCAGTTTTTCTTCTTTAAAATGTTGGTATATTTACAAGTGCAGTTATCTGAGCCTGGAAGGTTTATGAGAATACTCTCCATTTTGTTTGAAAGCTATTTATGAAAACTATTCTGTTTTCCATTCTTTCCTATATTGTTAACATTTAAGTCGTGTGTTTCTAGGAATTGTTCATTTCATCAAATTTTTCAGATACATTAATGAAAAGTCAATTGCAGCATCTCTCTTTTTTTTTTTGTGGAACTGGGAATTGAATTCAGGCCCTTGCACTTGCAAGGCAAGTGCTTATTCTACTCAGCTATCTCCCTAGCTCTAAAAAGTCACTTGCAATATCCATCGAGATGTCATCTTTTTATTAAAATTTTGATCATAAAATATTGTACATTTTCTTCTTAATCAGTTCTCATAGGGATCTTTCAGTTTTGTTGATCTGTGAAAAATAATGAATTATTGTGTTTAGGGGGCCAAGGATATAGCTCAGTGGCCTAAGTGCCTGCCTGAGAAGTGCAAGGTCCTGAGTTTGACTCCCAATAACAAAAACAAAAGAGATTCAGGATGAATTACTGGCTTTATTCACAATATTTGTTCTTAATACTTTCTGCACTTATAACTATTATTTCCTTCTACTTTCTTTAAGTTTGTTTTGCTTTTCTTTATTTAATCTCTCAGAATGAATACTTAGATTGTTATGCTTGGACTGGTTTTCCTTGCTGTAGTATAAAATTTCCTATACACATGAATTTAGTTACATACATACATTTTTATATGTGGTACTTTTATTTTCTTTCATTTCAAACTATTTAAATTTCATGATGATTTCTTCATTTTATAGTTTATTCAGAAATGTGTTTTTGACTTTCAAACACATGTCAATTTTAGCATCATCTTCTGTTCCTAATTTGAAGTTGTAGTAGGAAGAAAGCATGCTATATATGATTTTAGTACTTTAAAATGCTTTTTGAGATTTGTTTCATAGCCCAGATATGGTTAATTTATAAATGTTATACAGGTGTTTGAAAATTATGTGGACTTTGTATTTACTTGTTGCATTGTTCTCTATGTCACTTACATCAAATCTATTAATTATTTGAGACAAAACGCTGTGGCTTTTCTGTTCTTTTCTTATTGTAATGAGAGAAGTGAGCTAGTAAAGTATTTGACTATGGTTTTGAATTTGTTCTCTATTTTTCCTTTTTTGTGCCTTCCATTTTATTTTACATATTTGTTGAAAATATGTTAGCCACTATCTACTCAAATGTTTTTTCTGTCCCCTGAGACTTACATCAACCCTGCTTCTGAGTTTTTGTAGTTTCTACTGCCATAATTGGTAGACGCTACAAGAAGACATCCATGAATTTCAGAACCATATCTCTTTGCTTCCTTTTTCTCCTGGGAACTTGGCGCAGTAATTTGTCACTATCTTGTGAACCAGAATATCTTTCAAAATAGGAAAGACAGTGTATGTTATCCATATTTTCTAGTTCTACTCAGGAGGGAATAATAAAAACTACTTTGGCCTATATTACTAGAATCAGAATTCCACCTTTAAGTTTTATATGCATACTTGACAAAATATCTCTTACCTAACTACTTAATAATACAAGGCTTTGCAAATATTTAATTAAAGGTGCTCCATCTTGCATATTGTTACTAGATAAATTTTGGTTCTACTATTATCTAACTCTTGTCTGTTAATTATTATTATTCTTACTTTTTAAAATATAGCCAATGCTTCCTTGCCATCTCTCTGGGCTAGTGTGCAGAGTTTGGCACTATTTACCCAAGATTATAGCCTTTCTAGGGACCTGCCTTTCTTCAGAAATGGACCCAAGATCCCAACTCTTTTCTCTGTGGAAATAAATACACAAGCCCCTAGTCATTATTAGTTCTGATCACCCTCAAGGCTGCCAGAGGATTGACTCATATGCTTACTTCTGTGGCTCTTAGAATATGCTCTGCCTCTGGCACTTGAGGATTTCTTTTTTGTGAGCTATGACATGCATTCTAAAAATTGTTTCATTATATCCAACATTTCTAAGGGTTTATATTGAGGTAGTTTAAGAATAGCCTCACCTGCCACTTTGCTGATAGTATTCATCTAGCCTTATTATTTTTAGGCAAAACCCAGAAAGATATATGCCTCCATATCAAAGATTTATAATTATACAAAGCAACATACAAAAAGTGTTTGCTTCTAATTGTTTTAGTCAGTTCTGACTTGAGCAGTTTGTTTTGTTTTTTGACTAATTAGTTCCCTGATCTTAGAAAGACCCTTTCAGTTCAAGTTTTAGCATATTGGGAAGAATACGCCCCTTTAATAGCATAAAAGTAGAATTATTATCATAAATTCACTATAAGAACCAAAATTATAAATTATAAATCAGCTGGGTTTTATAACTACCACTTTATCAGTACAGCTCTTCCTATAACCACCAACGATTTCAGTAGAACAGGTTAAGTAGGCTGTATACTTTAATCAACCAAGAGTCATTTTATGTGCTTTACCAAATGCAGATATTGATTGTGTGATCAGAGAAACCAGTTGATTACTGTCATTGGTAGCTTAGTTTTTGTATATTATGAATTGTGTCAGAAATGTATTATCTTTCTAATCCCTTTCTTGACTTAACTTAGGGGGCTATTTTCCTGAGTTCATAAAATCCCTCAAATATTATCTGTGGTCTTAATGCATTTTTAGGGAAACTTCCTTGGCATCTACTGGAGATTCATTTCATTTCAGATTTCATGGTCACTTTTCTGAATCTGTATTACATGACTTCTCAACATTTTGAATTACATGGAGGCCAGGGAGATGGCTCAGTAGAATAGGTGCTTGCCTGGCAAGCGCAAGGCCCTGAGTTCAATCCCTGGTTCCGAAAAAAAATTTTTTTTCAATTACAGTTTATGCCTTTCTTTTTGAAAAAATACCCTCTTCGAAATGTGGCTACATCATAATCTCATTGGGGTTACTCCTATCACTCATATTTATCTCCTTCCCAGTGTCCTTTCTTGGTGACTTTTTCTGTTTGATCTTTTAAATTTTTAATCAACAATTAATAATTGTATATATTTATAGTAAAATATCTAGTTTTCAAATCCATGAATATTTCAGGATATATTCTTTAGGATGCCAACCAGTTCTCTGCATTTAAATGCTATCTATATGTTAAACACTGAATTTTCTACCTTCATCCCAAGCTCTTCATAAGAGAGAGAGAGAGAGAGAGAGAGAGAGAGAGAGAGAGAGAGAGATTAATTTGATTAATAATGCACCATTGTTCTTCCCCCAGCCTTTTCCATTCCATTAAGAGCAAAATTTTACTTCCCTTTATTCTTTCCCCATAGCCTATCTTGAGTAAGTTCTGTTGGTTTTACCTCTAGAAATATATCTTAAGGCCTGGCAAGATAGCTCAGTGGTCTAAAGCGCCTGCTTAGGCAAGCTTAAGAAAGCTCAGTGACTGTCTGTGGTTCAATCCCTTGCACCACATGCCCTGCCAGCCCCGGCCCTAGGGCAGGCTGAGCTGGCTAAAAAATAAAAGAAATATATCTTAAATCTGTCTAATAACCCTTAGAGTTGTAACTATTAAGCAAAGATAAAGCAAGCATTGATAAATTATCCACAGGTACATAGCTCTTAAACAGAGGTATCTAGCATATAATTATCACCGCTTAAAATTTATTATTCTTTTAATCATTCCACAACCTACAAAGAATATTTGTGAATAGACTAATGTAGATTATAATACACTCCATAACAATAGTATTATCAGAAAAAAAGCTTGTCACTCACTGAAAAGTTACTCTGCTATTACAGAATTTCTTAATATCATTGCATCTCAATGCCTCTTAATATATAAAAGCAGTTTCAGAATTCGAAACAGACAACTGAACTTCTGGAACACTCTTTTTCTCTAAGGACACATGACCATTAAACCCCAGGCTTATTCAGTTCTTTCAATATTCCATTTCTCCTCTCCCTTAAGTAAATTAAATAAATAAAGAGACTTGTCAATCTTTAATTTTGGTTTCTCCGCTGACATTATTTTAATATTCAACATTTCTCCTCAAAAAGTCAAAGGGACAAAGGAGAGAACTTCTGCAGAGTCAGTACCCACAATAATTATATTGGAAAAATACTGAATAACACTTCAGGTTAAGTAGGCAGTATACTTTAATCAACCAAGAGTCATTTTATGTGCTTTACCAAATGCAGATATTGATTGTGTGATCAGAGAAACCAGTTGATTACTGTCATTGGTAGCTTAGTTTTTCTATATTATGAATTGTGTCAGAAATGTATTATCTTTCTAATCCCTTTCTTGACTTAACTTAGGTGGCCATTTTCCTGAGTTCATAAAATCCCTCAAATATTATCTGTGGTCTTAATGCACTTTTAGGGAAATTTCCTTGGCATCTACTGGAGATTCATTACATTTCTGATGCTTGAAGGCCATTAACATTCTGTGACTCAAAATAAATTTCGTTTAGAGTTTATTTTATACATGAAGAATTTACCCTTTACATTGTTCCTTATATATTCACTTAAGTGCTAGAGTTCTTCTGGACATTTTAATTTGTGTGTGTGTGTGTGTGTGTGTGTGTGTGTGTGTGTGTGTGTGTATGGAACCAAAGATTGAACTTAGGCCCTTGTGCTTGCTAAGGAAGTGCTTAATGTACTAAGCCATCTCCCCACTCCCTGTAGTTTGCTTTTATATAATATTCATAAATATTTAATATATTGACTAGGAAATTTGTCAACTCCCATGTCTTTTGGAAAGAATGGATGCTGCTTCCAACAAAATATATTAATCAATGTTCTTTGAATTCTCCACAGAACTCTGTACCATGGAGTGTGGTAGCCATGGGGTGTGCTCAAGAGGAATTTGCCAATGTGAAGAAGGATGGGTAGGACCAACATGTGAGGAACGCTCTTGTCATTCTCACTGTGCTGAACACGGCCAATGCAAAGATGGAAAATGTGAGTGTAGCCCCGGATGGGAGGGCGACCACTGCACTATCGGTAAGTACCACCACATTTTGTACAATATAAATTGGACTAATTGAAGCAATAAGAGTATAGGGAGCTGATTGCAGGCTTTTAGTAGAATTTGAGTTTGGACAAGTAAAGGAGTGTTGGCTACAAATTTTAAAGAAGAGTAAATCACTTCTCAGCCTTTTTGCTAAGATCAAGTGTAAAGAACTGTGTGTTAGGAAGTTTTTTCTTTCATTGATAATAACCTACTTATTTTTGTGTGTCATTTCCTTTCTCATTACTTTGGTATTCTTTATGTTTTCTACTTTCAAGTGCTTTAAATTTCTCAAATGAAAGATGAGTCATTGAAATAGTGTCATTAGTTAATAAGAGAAGTGCTTTTGTTGTGAAGGTAATATTCACTGCCCATTCTTTCTTCTGCAAAGTATAGGTTGTTTCAGTTGAAAACACTTAGAGGCAATTTCATTAAATGAGACTACTTCAACAGGGTCCATTTGATATCATTACAGGCTTTCTTTAATATATAAGAAGAAGGCATTCCTGACCTATCAGTAGAATCTCTGTATTGAATTGTTTATCTTTGTTTAGAAGTGTGGAATTTGTACTGAAACATCCACTCTCTCACATCCCTTGTTAATTCCACAAAGTTAAGGATACTGTCTAAGAGAAGTCTTCAGCTCTGAAAAGCCTATGTAATAATTTTTTCTACCATGTGATCTTCATACTATAAAAGACTTTTGTAATGATTAAGATTCCCACTGTAAAATTCTTTCTTTAGCAAATGAAATCCCTAAATACACAGCTACCACAAAAATGTCACATGTTTATACAGAGAGACACATAGAGTTGCCATTGTTTAACAAAGGAAAATGGGTCACAGTGTTCAGTGACATTCCATGACTAGACAAAAGAAATTGACACAGAACGAAGGCAAGAGTGGGCTTCTGAACACACAATTCATTGTTTGTGGGGCTTTTCCCCAACAGACTCTACTACGGCTTTCACTTTTAGTTGAACTATTTTGTTACAATGGCTGGGACCTGCCAAATAATGTATGGCATATATAAAATACAATCTTAATAAACTATATTATTACTCTACTAAGGTACTGTAAGTCTTATTCTATGACTATGGAAAATATTTAAAGTTCATTAAAAAGGTGGTGGGGGTGAGATTAAGATACAGCTTAAGTAATTACATTCCTGTACTACAGTAAGTTTATGGCCTTTACATAAGAAGATTTAAATATTGTGATGATTAACAAAGGTGGTTACTCCAGAACTCCCTTCTAAAGATATTACTAATAAGAAGTTGAAGCTGCTGTTTCACAGAAATTATTACTGAAATGCAAAATGCAGTTCTTATATTTTTAGTGAAATATGACACTTTTTAGGCAGCCTAATAAGAGTTTCTTGCAGAAAGACCATTAATATCTTTCCCACAGAAAATATTATTCACAAACTGTGCAAACCAGTGTACCAACTTTTGAGCTGCAGGCATTTCAACAGTTCACAGTTTGCTGTTCTGCTCCCAGGCTGCAGATGGCAAACCATTAATACATGTTGTATGGTTATAGTTTCCCAGAAATTCATTCAATCATTCTTTTCTCCCCTTTTTAGCTCACTACTTAGATGCTGTTCGAGGTAAGACTTTTCTCATCTCCCTACTCATCTCTTGGCACATTCAGTTACCATTCAACAGATGCTAACTCAGAACTATTGGTAGAAAGAATAAGACATTTTAGAAGCAAGTGTAAAGGTAGGCTACTGTCATTAACAGTGGATGAAAGGCATTTACTTGTTTGCAATACATAATGATTACATTCATCATGGAGAATAGGTACTGTCCATGTACTTAGGAAAATGAAAATTTTTTAATTCACTGAGATATTGAGATTTCCTCATAACTGTATTCTCCAGCTATTCCTTAGAATTCTAAAAGTCTAAATCTGATATGTATTAATTCTTCAACATTTGCTGAGCATTTCTATGATTATTATTATTATAGGCATCACACTATGCTCATTTCTGTTAGAGATACCAGAGAAAAGTAAAAATTTCAATCTTTAGCTCTCAGATCAATAATAATCTTGAAATGCTATACAGACACAATGCAATTGTAGCACATTTCTAAAGTACCAAATGAGAAAATACTTAATGGTAAGGTCTTAACTGTATACCAATATAGCTAAGTTTTGAAACAATATATCACACACAAAATAAGTCTGCACAGGCTAGTAGTTAGGGGAACTTCCTCCTCATAGAAACTGTTATGGTTTTTCAACTTACTAGACATAAGCAGATACATCACCAAACATCCAGTTTTGATTGAGATGTGGAGATATGTGTTTTGAAAAGAAACAGAAAACATTTCTTGTCCCCACCACAGTTTCATCCTACCTGAACCAGAAGTTGGGAATTGGGGGTAGCATTAATAATGCTTAATTGGCTCTCTAAGGAAAAGCTTTGCAAAAGAAGAGATAACAAGTTCCCTGGAAAGGTTCTGCCAGTAAGCAAACCTTCTTCCATTTATTCAGCAACCCAACTGAATGGAACCCAGATGATTAAATGCTTCCCCATAGACAGACACATCATTGTGGCCAGATCTTTATCTGATGTCTCTGTGACTGTTACTCTCTGCTGTCATTTCAGATGGATGCCCAGGGCTCTGCTTTGGAAATGGGAGATGTACACTGGATCAAAATGGTTGGCACTGTGTGTGTCAGGTGGGTTGGAGTGGGACGGGCTGCAATATTGTCATGGAAATGCTTTGTGGAGACAACTTGGACAATGATGGAGGTGAGTCATTTATATAATATTTGTATAAAAGAGACATAGCCAAGTCTCGAGCATAGTGGTAACCAACCTCCCAAGAGTGAAAATTAGAAATCTTTATGTATGTTTTATGTCATATAATTATCAAAATAATTCCATGAAGTATAGGTACTATCACTTTCACTATTCATAGATAGTAAAACTAAGGCTTGGATGAGGGTGGTAAGTGACTCATCCAAGTTCACACAACTAGAAACTAAGTGAGCTGAGGTTCTAATTCAGGAGTGTGTGACTTCAGTTTTCTTTGCTACTATATTGTGCCTATATTCATGCCTACAGCATTTAATATAGTACATTAGATTAATGGGTGACAGGTTACAGATATTAGTGTACTTTGCACTATACACGCTGTAAAATATTTTCTTTGTTATTCATTAGAGCACCTACTTGTGTCCTTACATTTTAGTAATTCCTGGTATCTTTCAGAGGACACAGCATGAAGACAATTAATGATAAATATTTTATATTTAATTCAAGACGTGTACTTGTTATTTTTCTTGTTATTTTTATTGAAACATAATATTTGTACCTATTTATTGGATATTGTACAAAACTCCCACACATATATACAGTGTATAATAAGCATATCTGGGTAATAAGTATTTTTATCTCTTCAAACATTAATCATCATATATGTTGAGAATTTTCATAGTTTTCTGGTTATTTTGAAATACACAATAGTTGTAAGCAATAGCTACCCCACTGTGCTATAGAAAATTAGAATTAAATCATATCCAGCTATGGTTTTGTGCCCCTTATTTAACTTCTTTCTATCACCACTCCCTCCTTCTCAGTCTGTAGTGAGTACCATTCCATTTCATTCTTCTAGCAGATCAACTTTTTAGTTTCTGTACACACAATATTTTAGAGTCATGTGTGGCTTCTGAGCCTATGGAAACACTTCTATTTTACTGAAGTCAACCAAAGCATCTAATATATTCCACAATCAAAATTCAAACCACCCAATCACCACTGAATGAGCCTAAAACAATAAATCATCACTTTCCCTATAATTTTATGCAAGAAAACATGAAAATAATAAAAAAATCTAATTTCAGTATCTTATCTGAAAATGAAGCATGATTAAATTTGATTCCTCAATTTTCTAAATTTCTTAATAATTGCATTCTTTGTCATTTGAATCGAAACATGAGGTTTAAATCAGTAAGGTAGGCATCATCGCTAAAACAAGAGTTTCTCCTTTACTTATCTTGGCTAAAACAAATGAATATAATTTTGACAATAATATTAACACTCTATTGGGGTGGTAATAAGTATTAAATGACATAATTTAAGTGAACCATTAGAAATTGATAAATAAAATTACACAGAGAGAAAGACAGGTACAGACAGAGACATAGAGGGAATAAATCATGTTCTGGAGAGACTATTAACTACCCTGATAAACTGAAAAATTGACTTTGAAAAGGCAGAGTGAGATTTTCTACTAAGTCATACTCTGATACTCTGATCAACTATTTTAATGACCCTTCAAGGCTCATTTTCCTTTAATTTCTTTTCATTGTGTGCCTTGTATGCTTTCTCCTCTACAATCATCATTCTCTATACATCATTTAAGTCTCAATTTAAAATATATCTGCATTAAACCATTGGTATCCACCTCCTTAATCTCTCTGGTGCTTATAATATGCATCAGTCAAGCACATGATTACGTTCTTTTTGTTTTCTTGCTGTTAAACTTGATCTGTGGCCAACAGTTATATGCTTGATGTAATTAGTAATAGCAGTACTTCACCTGTAGTCAAGGTTTACTATGTACCAGGAATGTAGTAAGTCCTTTATGTGATTTATTTCACCTAATCTCCACATTACAGGAATTACTATTGATGCTACTTACAACATAGAAAGCTGAGGCATAGGAAACTAGAGGTCATACAGCAAGCAAACAATAAACATAGGGTATAAACTTAAGGATCTGGTGCACTGGAATGAACAGCAGAGATTTCTCAGTTGATGTGTTGATGAAAAGGTTATTGTTAGGAAATACATTTGTAACTTATACACTTATAATTTCTAGCTTGGATAAATTTCAGCCAAAATAAGTTTCTTGACTTAGTAAAGTAATAAAAATAATTGAATATTTAATTACAAAGCATTTTATAGCCTTAAGGTCACCTCAAGGCAGAAAAAAAGTTTTAATGAATGGGTTGATTAAATATTAATGAATTAATGGATTATCAATTCTTGATGTTGTGCTATATAGTACAGAAGGTACAAAAGATTTTACTCAATGCATATTGACCTCTGAACATTGCTTTAAAACTGTGTATCTATATGCAAATTAAAAAATCAAAGACACTGATATGAGTTCAGTGTATTTTTGTGATTGTCTTTTTAGGGAGTTGGGGTGGAAAGCTCCTTAAGTGTTTCAATTACCAATTTTTCTTAGTAGTATTAAGATCATAATGCTGATAGATATGGATTTACTTTTACTTTGAAATAGAAAGATTGAATAACCTCTGAATGCCCCATGACTAAGATTTAAGACCAATAATTCAATTTTTATAATGTTTAAATATTACCTCTAAGAATATATTAAATGCCCTTTATTTGGTGATCTCAGCTTGTCAGAACAGGTGTATTCATTTAGCTGAATATGATTAATGATTAATATTTGCATACATGTTTGTACATGTGTGTATTTTAATTAAATCAGAAAGTGTCAATTGAACCTTTTTGAAAAAAAGTGATCCTCTTTAAAAACCTTCCAATCAAAACAAGTATCACTCTCAAGAATTTGCTTCAAGTAGCTGCTACTTGATTACTCCATATGATAGCTGATACTTAAAGCATTGTGAGATTTTTTTGCATCTTAATCAACTTTGAATACTCATTAGAATTGCTGCTACTACCTCCCACAGCTTTGACTTTAGTTAAACTCTGATTCAATACACTGTAACTCTCAGTAACTAATTGGGCTGCACAGTTAGTGGGTAACAACAATTTCTCTCTAAACTACCTAAAAACTCCTTTAAAAATAAAAATAAAACAGCCAGAAGAAACTTTTGAATTTTTATCTTAACATACAAATGGAAATCTATCTTATTATGAAAACTAATTTCAACGGAAGTTGCAAAATTATCAAAGGCTTTGACACTATTTATTCTCTTAGCCAACAATTATCATGTACACAATTTTATACTTGATAGAGGCAACATTATGATGACCACATTTAAATTTGTTAATCACATGTCCTAATTTAGAGTGTAGAAAATATGGTCACCATACATTATTTGAACATGAGAAATTGACATGCAAAGAAGTTTGAATAATACATAAACTGAGTCAAAATAGCTAAAACGAAGAATAGTGATGGTAACTACCAGACACTGAAGTATATTTTAAACATAAGACAAATTAAATCAGACTGGCACTGTGGTAGTCATATAGAATCAAAATAAATACTCTGGAACACACTCAAGCACAAATAAAAATTTAGTGTCTAATAAACCCAAAATCAAAAATCAGTAGGATAACATAAATGTTGCTGGGACAACTATTAAGAAAAAATACCTTAAATTCTCAATTCATATCATATTCTAAAAATAAAAAATATATTACCTGGATTGAGTTAGAAATAAAATAAAATCCAAACAAAATTAAAGTAAAACATAGGTCATAGATCTTACAATGGCATAAATTTCTTTAAACATAGAAGCAAAGGATAAAACCACAGGAGAAACAATATGATAAATGTGATTTAGTAAAATTTTGAAATATTTTTACACTGTATGCCTAAATTTATGTACCACCCAATATTTAATTATTTAGAAACATCAAAATCTGCATCATCAGGTACAGCAAATAGCTACTAGTAAAAATTGTGTATTTCAACTTGTTAAAAATTCGCTGTTTAATTTACACAAGTGCGCTATAGTCACATGACATGAGAGGTTATTGTACTGGAGATCACAGTACTACAGCACATCCAACTTTGAAAAAAGTTTTATTAGATAGTGCTGACTCAAGTGTTGAAATTGTATGGTTATCTGTCAGCCAAACCTTTCATGTGCTGTACTCCACTTTCCATTTATACATTATTACTTCTTGCTAAATATTGCACTGGATGCTGAAGAGAAATATTAATTTTTCTCCTGTGGTGTGTATGGTTTAACAAGAAAGGCAGGTATCAACTGTAAAACAGTTGCATATTTAAAATTGTGAAGAATGTTGTGAAAATTTGAGGATGCTAAAAATGTGTATAGGTGACCTAACTAAGTCTGTTACTTGAGGAGGCCTCTCATGACAATGGGTAAGGGCTACTCCAGGCAAAGGAAGTGGCATACACAAAAGCTTCTAGGAAGCAAAAGACAAATCATTATTCCTGGAACATGGTAAGGCAGGAAGATATTAGTTTGCAGAGGTGGGCAGAGTGCATTCAGAATGCTGTAAGTTTTACAAGCTATTAAGTCATTAAATAAAGATTTCCTTTTATTTACTCTCGTTTCAGAGGTAGAATATCATCTCTGACATTGTGGAAAGATCATTAAAGGTTAAAAAAGACCTAGAATAGGCTAATTTAATCATAAGAAGTTTTCTTTTCTCTAATCTTTGAGTATTTGTCACATTTGCCCACGTTTCTCCTATACAACATATTCCAGTGGTCTATGTTCATGTTCTCTGGAAAATGTCAGTAAGTTAATTGTCTAAAAGAAAATGCCCTTCCTGGAATTACTCTTCTTAGGAAGTCCCCATTCATTAAAAGTAATAGCTCTTTGCAAAGCCTCTTTTGTAGTACAGTGCTTCTAGATCTAGAAAATAGTGCCGTGGGTGAGTTATGAATATATATATATATATATAAGCTCATGGATATTGAAATTAACGTTTTGAATGTCACTACCATACTGCTGTGTTCAATAAATAGGAAAATAAAAAGAAAAGGAGCAGCAAATTGATATTTGCTCTATTTAAGGGCCATGCACTGACTTTTCATTTACTTTTGA